TCAATAATTACATTTTATATATATTTAATGATTTATATAAGTTGTATAATTATGTAGGGTTTTTTATTATATATACTGCAATATATACTGTATATTTGTGTGTGTTGTGATAAAATAAATAATTATAAATTAAAGTTAAAATGTATAACTATATAAATTGTATAATTAAAATTACTTTTTGTTGTTATTTTTTGTTTTTAATATATGTATATGAATCATCTAATAAGTAATTATATATTATAATTTCATTTTAAATATATTTAATGAGTTGTATACATATTTTAGATTGTATTTTATATATATAGATAGATAGACAGAGACAGACTGATAGATAGATAGATAGACAGATAGACAGAGACAGACTGATAGATAGATAGATAGATAGAATTGTTCTTTTGACTTTTTTATTTATTTTTTTGGTCATCTGTCCATTCTGATGTCATGTCTTTAAATGTGCTGTTTGTGTGTTTGTGGTCTCCAGCGAGGAGCTCATGAGATCAGGGAGATCCGTCAGTTTCATTTCACCGGCTGGCCGGATCACGGCGTCCCGTATCACGCCACGGGGCTGCTGGGCTTCGTCCGCCGGGTCAAAGCCAAGAGTCCAGCCAACGCCGGCCCGATGGTCATCCACTGCAGGTGAGCATCAGTCTCTTCCTCACAGAATCGCAGTGTTGGGAAGCTGCTAAAGGAAGGTCGATTTGTTGCTAAAAGTTGCTAAATGATGTCATTGCACGATCACGTAATCACAACGCAAAATTGCCACTCCATCAAAGCTGTCAAAAATATATTTTATATATGTTAATTTAGATTTGTTTGTAAAATACTATTAATTTTGAACAATTACAATTTAAGTTTTATTTTTTTATTAGCTAGTAAACTACACATTCTGAACAATTATATTTTTATGCAGTGTATTAGTAGTTGGTTAGTATGCTACACTCTAAGAAAAGTCTTTAAAAATAGGGCACAATCTACTTTGTTAATGTGAAGGAGTTTTCCGTATTGATTTTTCACAGCATTTTAAATTACGCATTGTATTTTGTGTATTTTGGGTCACAGGGTTACGACAGATAATGGATAATAAATAATGTCCTTGAAAATTACTAGTACCTTTTCCATTTATCTAGATATTTTTCTTAAGGTCTTTGCACACTGAGTCCGAAATTCTCGAAATTCGCACGTTGAAAACCAATACAACCTCATGTTGTGTCAATCACGTTTACACACTGCCTCCCAAACTTTCATCCGTCATAAAAAAATTGAGATCAGGTTCGATTTTCTGTGTTTTCACATCCGTAGCAAGCATTTTGATAGAAAAGGATGACAAATACGAAAAAAAACGCACATGAAAATTTCGGATACAGTGTGCAAGGACCTTTACAGTGCATCAACAATCACAGGTACAAGCTACTAACAAGGTGTATCATAAATTAACAATTATTATTATTACTATTATTAAATTTAACAGTTGCAAATATCAGCTTAATTCACGTGATGCGTGTACTGCTAGGCATCTTTGGTTTCCTATTTTTGTGTAATTTAGATGGAAAATGTCTACCTTTTTATTGTTTGAGTTACTTTTCAAAAGTTACAAAAAGTTGCCGAATTAATTTAAAAATAGCTAAATTTGTTGCTATTTGCTTTGGGAAGAAAAGGTTGCTAGGGTACACACAGAAAAAAGGGGTTTAAAATTGTACCTTTTGGGGTACAACAGCTTGTCCCTGGAGCAGTACCCTTAAAAGGACTTATTTGTACCTTTTTACCCCTAATAGGTACATATTTGTACCTTAGAGTAGTAATAACAGCTGTTGTTTGGTCCTCAGCGCTGGAGCGGGACGCACCGGCTGCTTCATTGTGATTGACATCATGCTGGACATGGCGGAGCGAGAAGGAGTCGTGGACATTTACAACTGCGTGAGAGAACTGCGCTCCCGCAGGGTCAACATGGTGCAGACGGAGGTAACCAATCACAGACATCCTCACATCAGCCGCAGCCAATCACACGCTGCCTCTCACTGCAGCCCCGCCCTCTCAGACAAACTTTGCATAGCATTTATATAGTTTTATTTTTTTATTTTTTTTGTGTATACATAATAATTAAATAATTAAAAAATATTACAAAATAATTATAATTCATAGATACAGTTTAAATATGTATAATATATACATTTATATTGTATAATTGAAATTATTTTTATTATTTGTTATATAGAGAGAGACAGAATATGTAGTATATTTTGTTTTCATTTTTTGATATTTTGATATTTTAAATATAATTAAAAAATAAATAATAATAAAATATTATATATATATATATATATATAATGATAATTATAAATATTAACATTTGAAAAATATTTAATGATTTATATAAGTTGTGTATATTCTTTAAAATTTGTATACTTAAAAACACATACATTATAATAAAATATATGAATTATGTAAAAATATAAATTATAGATACAATTTAAATGTTATATATTGTTTTATATATGTACAGTATATAAATAATAAACAATCCTTTTAAATAATTATAATTTAATTATATCAACATGGTGCAGACAGAGTTAACCAATCACAAACATCTTAGCATCAGCCACAGCCAATCAAACGCTGCCTCTCTCTCCAGCCCCGCCCATTTAGACATATTTTAGAACTTTTTTCTTGACATGAATTTTCAATATAGACAAAAGAAACAAGCACTCATATGTAACTATGATTGTATAGCCTGAGACCTTATCTGACCGTCAGCTTCGGTCAAGGACTTTCTGAGGAGCAGCGACCGCAGGCATATTTAAAATGTCACTTCATGAATGATTTACGTCAAGCTGTCAGACCGCCGTCTGCGATCGAGAGATGGCCGGTCCGCACGTGGACACACAGGACAGAGACATCGAGGAGAAAGCTGAAAACACAGTTGATTATGTCCTGATGCATCTGTTCTGACCATAAAAGTGTGAATAATTTGATACATTTGAATAATTGATACATTTACAAACATTAGATTTTTTTAACTGGACTAAATATTAATTAGTTTTATTAATTGGAAATAAATAAAAACTGAAACTGAACTAAAACCTAAATAGTAATATTTAAAAAGAACAAAAATGACAAAAGCACATGACAAAATTACAATAAAATTAAAATAGAAAAATAATAATAATAAAAAAAATTTTGAAATGAAAACTGAAAAGTAAAATAATAACAAAATATATAGAAAAAAAATCTGCAGATTTTAAAACTGACATTTTAACCAAAAAAAAACCAATCAATCACCACATCAAATGATATCAGTGAGCTGTGATTGATATGGTTGTATTGATCTGTTTTTGATATGCTGATATTTCAGGAGCAGTATGTGTTTATCCATGATGCCATATTGGAGGCGTGTCTTTGTGGCGACACCACGATCCCGGCCAATCAGCTTCGCTCGGTGTATTACGACATGAACCGCTTGGACCCGCAGACCAACTCCAGCCAGATCAAAGAGGAGTTCAGAGTCAGTGAATTAAAGTATTACATATAGCTGTAAATACATTGAATAACAAAATAAAACATGATAAAATACCATAAAAATAAATAAAATAATAAAATAAATCAATAGAATATAGTGATGTAAGTGTGTGCATGAGTTTGGTTTGTGTTTTTCTTTGGCAGACGTTAAACATGGTGACGCCCACGCTGCGGGTGGAGGACTGCAGCATCGCGCTGCTGCCGCGGAACCATGAGAAGAACCGCTGTATGGACGTTCTTCCTCCGGACCGCTGCCTGCCCTTCCTCATCACCATCGACGGAGAGAGCAGCAACTACATCAACGCCGCGCTCATGGACGTATGGCAGCTCGCACACACCTCAGATCTGAACCTAGTGGCCGTTACCTCACCTCTTAACCTAGTGGCCGTTACCTGCAGCGCTTAACCTAGTGACCGTTACCTCACCTCTTAACCTAGTGGCCGTTACCTCACCTCTTAACCTAGTGGCCGTTACCTGCAGCGCTTGACCTAGTGATCGTTACCTGCGGCGCTTAACCTAGTGACCGTTACCTGCGGCGCTTGACCTAGTGATTGTTACCTGCGGCGCTTAACCTAGTGACCGTTACCTGCGGCGCTTGACCTAGTGATTGTTACCTGCGGCGCTTAACCTAGTGACCGTTACCTGCGGCGCTTGACCTAGTGACGGTTACCTGCGGCGCTTAACCTAGTGACCATTACCTGTGGCGCTTAACCTGGTGACCGTTACCTGCGGCGCTTAACCTAGTGACGTTACCTGCAGCGCTTGACCTAGTGATCGTTACCTGCGGAACTTAACCTAGTGACTGTTACCTCACCTCTTAACCTAGTGACCATTACCTGCGGCGCTTAACCTAGTGACCGTTACCTCACCTCTTAACCTAGTGACCGTTACCTGTGGCGCTTAACCTGGTGACCGTTACCTGTGGCGCTTAACCTGGTGACCGTTACCTGCGGCGCTTAACCTAGTGACGTTACCTGCGGCGCTTGACCTAGTGATCGTTACCTGCGGTGCTTAACCTAGTGACCGTTACCTCACCTCTTAACCTAGTGACCGTTACCTGCAGTGCTTAACCTAGTGACTGTTACCTGCGGCGCTTAACCTAGTGACCGTTACCTGCAGCGCTTAACCTAGTGACCGTTACCTACAGTGCTTAACCTAGTGACCGTTAGTTACAGTGTTTAACCTAGTGATCATTATCTCACCTCTTAACCTAGTGACCGTTACCTTAGATCTTCACCTAGTCACTGTTACCTGCGGCGCTTAACCTAGTGACTGTTACCTGCAGCGCTTAACCTAGTGACCGTTAGTTACAATGCTTAAAGGGGTCATATGTTTCAATTTTTCTTTGGAGTGTTACAAGCTCCTGGTGCATAAAGAAGATCTGTAAAGTTGCAAAGACTAAAGACTAAAGTCTAAAGAGATATTCTTTATAAAAGTTAAGAGTTAACCACACCTACCTAAAACGGCTCGTTCTAACACGCCC